AAGCAGTTTATACTCGTATACTCATCGGAGTCAGGGAAAACAGTTTATACTCGTGTACCCAATGGAGTAGGTGGTCGTCTTTATTTGGCTTGTTTCGCCATTATGACGCCGGAGTCAATTAATGCTTGGATCTTATTTTTGAGTCCAAAGCAAATATTGGTAGGATGAATAATCCTTCTGTGGTATGCACAGTAATTTGGATCAGTAACCCTCTTAGCTCCCTCCTGATCTTTAATAGGTGGTAGTTCGATTTTGTCGTTGGCGAGGAGGTATTCCAATATGGCTGGAGCTTCATCATCTTCGAAAGAATACTCCTTTTGGAACCTCGGATCGAGAGTTGCGTCCACAGAAATTGCAGATGTCGTCGGTTGACTTCTCTCAACTTTCTTCCTTTTAAAGAAGTATTCAGCTTATTCGCCACGTAATTTAAACTCTTTCCAGGTTTTGGATGGTACGACCCCCAGGGCTTCCAGGACATCGATGGAGAGATTATTGTGGCATGTTTGCAGGATAAACTCCTCTGTAATAGGATCTCTGCAATTCATCGCTTTGTTACGGAAGCGTTTGACAAAATTATCGACTGACTCTCCGTCTTTTTGCTTCTCATCTAAAAGGGTTCCGATTGACACTTCGGTGTCATCATCGAAGAAATTGCTGAGGAACAAACTTTCCATGTCATCCCACCAATTGATGCTCCCTGGCTTAAGCCGTCGGTACCAATCGAAGGCGGACCCACGAAGGGTGCCAACGAATGACCGGACCATTAAAGCCTCGTTTCCAGATATCATGCCCAAATGAGACTTGAAATAAATTAGATGCTGAATCGGTGAACTCTTCCCCTCAAACGGTGTGAAGTTAATCAGATTGAACTTTGCCGGATATGGTATTGAATCTCATTCCCTTGGATAGGGACATGGAATACCCGTCTTCTTCACTTCTTGAGCCGTCATCAAAGCGTTTACTTTGTTTTCAAGCTCTTTTATTTTCCCGTCATCGTCTATGTCTTCATTCGAAGAACGTTGTGGAGAATGAGTTAGACCACCCCCTGTGAGAGGTGCTATTGAACCACCCCCAATATCGTTATCGGGAGAGTGCGTTAAACCACCCCCAGTGTTATTGCTATTGGGGGGTGTATCAGCCATAATAACTTCATCCACTTCTGGATCACTATCATCTGCCACATTCTGAGTGTGACGGCTGGATTCAGCTCGCTGACTGGACTCAGGAGGTTGAGATTGTTGAGTTAGCAATTCTCTCATTTGTTGAATAGCTAACTCCATCTCTGTCTTCATCTCAGCTCTAATTTCTTCACGTTGCTTCGCTAGAGCTTTTTGAAGCATTTGAGCAAATTGATCAGAGGTGATCGTGAGTATTTCTCTGGTTTGTCCCGTGCTAGACATTGTATTATCAGAAACGATTGGAGAACAAGTGTCCGAGAATCCATCCTCAGAGGACATTCCTTCTTGCATTCTCTTGTAATCTCTGCGTCTGATGGCTCCTAATTGGAGTCGAGACATCCTTTGAGCAATTCTTGGATTGACTTTTCCTCTCGGAGAAAAGTCGGGATTTGAGTCACTTGAATGCCGCTTAGACTTTCTTTTATCAGCCACGTTGATGGTGACTTCAGGGAATTCATCATCTTGGACAGCTGATTTTCTCTTGCGGAAATGTCTCGGCTTAGGCTTCGACATTTTGGTGAAAAGTTTCGGGAGCACTAAGGCTCTTTGCGGGATAACTCCTCGTTTGAAACAGTCACATTCTGATAGCATTGCTCTAATGAGTCGCGCACATGAACAATGAGAGCTCATTTCCCGAACAACTCTCTTTCGAGTTTTGTTCATACCCCCAGCTTGATAGTATAATTCATCGGTATGATTGCCGGAAAATCTTATCGTCTGTTGGTATGACCCCCCAGGTATAACGATGTCTTTTGACAAACATGTTTTCTTCTGAGGATATAAGACCTCGTTGGCATTCTCAGGACAACTTATTATTGTCTTTGAACGATCCAAGGTTATGTCGGGAGTCGCACGTTTAGAACCACCCCCTTGTGGGCATGGAATCTTAACGGGCTCCGAATGCTGATTTTGCACAACTCTAGACTTTGGAATCCAAACTTTGCAGAGTTTTGATGGTTCTTTAGCCACCGTTTCCTTCTCCCTTTCTCGTCTTTGTTGTGAGAGAGCACGGGCAAGAGCAGCGTTTGCACGATGTTTTTGTATGCGTTCTTTGAGGGTCGAGCGAGCCCTCTTGACAAAAGTCCATTCATCTGTTGTGAGTTGTGCAGAGATATGAGTGGTTGGTTGTTGAGATAACTGAACCACTCGATGCCTCCTCGACTTTAGGTCCGCGTGATAACGAACCCCGTCGGTTTGTTCCAAGGCCTTAGCTATTTGGCGAGCGCGGCGCTGACGTTGTCTTTGACGAGCCCTCTTCATCAGTGCCGCTGGGCTTTGATTCGATGACTCTTTAATTAGATAAGAGTCATTGTGAGCAGAGGTGTTGCGAGTAAAATCCTTAGCAACAATCAGACGAGAGTCTTCATTTTGTGCCTTCTTTGGCATGTAGGTCTTCCTCAATTATGAGATCCTCTTGTAATTGCGAGACAATGAAGATCTTGAAGAGGATGATGAGAGATATTCCTCAAATTTGGTTTGGTCGAATTCGTATTCGACCATGGATTCAACTGGAATCTTGATCGGCTGCGACACGACGGTCTCGGCAGCGAGACCGTTAGCTCCCACTGTGGTCGCCAGCTTGTTTGTGCGTCAAAAGTTGGTTTCGTTGTGGAATTCATTATATCTTCGGTCGATTACAATAAATTCAAAAGAAATAGTCTTTTTATAAGACTTTTTTTACACAACAAAAGGAAAATTACAACTTTTTAGAAACAAACGCAGGATCGTTGTTTGGATCGCTGCTTGCGTGGGATCTTTGCCTGTGCCGGGAGCGCTTTGACTCGTGGACCACCAAATCACAGATTCTGATTGAACCGTGAGGGGTTTAATGATTCTTCCTTCGTTTATCGAAGTAAGAATTTGAAGCGAATATCTTATCGATGTAAGATGTTCACTCTTCCAAAGATCAAGTCTGAGCTTAGATCTCTAGGACTCGCTAGAAACTTCTTGAGGATGTTTGTGAAGAAGGAAGACTCTCTCTCTTGCTCTAATTCACCAAAACTCAAGGCTCTCTACTCTAATCTCTCTGGAAAATGCCCAGCCCCCTTGGATGCTCTCTCATCAGCCCTCTTTTGTAACCGCCATCCCACTACTTAAATACCATCTTTTTATGAGGTTAGTGGGCATGATTTTCCCTTGTAACTGCTTCCCCCACGTTCATAAGTGACCCCCAGCAGTTAATAAGCCATGTGGACTACACAAAACTCGAGAAAACTGTCAAAAATGACGTGTTCAGCTTCCCAGTGGCCGCGACAGTACGTGGTGTCGCGCATTGCCGCGGCAGTTACCACTGCCGCGCACCTCTCGAGTATTTTGGCTCTAACTTCCTCGTCCGATGTCGGAATGAGGTGATCCAAGATGCGTTGGAAAGATAACGAAGAGATCTACAACTTTTATCTTTTGACCTTCTTCAGATTTAGTGTGAGACAGTCATGACTGTCTCGCATTCCGAGACAGTGAAGTCTGTCTTTTGCGACCTCTCGGGTATTTTGGCTCTAACTTCCTCGTCCGATGTCGGAATGAGGTGATACAAGATGCATTGGAAAGCTATCGAAGAGCTCTACAACTTCCCATTGGCACTTCACTCTGTTTATTTGCGCGACACCTTGTACTGTCGCGTTATTGCCGCGGCAGTGTACACTGCCGCGCACCTTCGATGTAGTTTGCGACCTCTCGGGTATTTTGGCTCTAACTTCCTCGTCCGATGTCAGAATGAGGTGATCCAAGATGCGTTGGAAAGCTATCGAAGATCTCTACAACTTCCCATTGGCGCTTCACTCTTTTTATTTGCGTGACACATTATACTGTCGCGCTGTTGCCGCGGCAGTGTACACTGCCGCGCACCTTCGATGTAGTTTGCGACCTCTCGGGTATTTTGGCTCTAACTTCCTCGTCCGATGTCGGAATGAGGTGATCCAAGATGCGTTGGAAAGCTATCGAAGAGATCTACAACTTCCCATAGGCATATCACTCTTTTTATTTACGCGACACCTTATACTGTCGCGCTGTTGCCGCGACAGTGTACACTGCCGCGCACCTTCGATGTAGTTTGCGACCTCTCGGGTATTTTGGCTCTAACTTCCTCGTTCGATGTCGGAATGAGGTGATCCAAGATGCGTTGGAAAGCTATCGAAGAGATCTACAAATTCCCATAGGCATATCACTCTGTTTGTGTGCACAACACCTTCCACTACCGCGCAAATGCGCGTCAGTGTTTCTTGTCGTGGGTGTTCATATTGTTCTTCTATGTTGTTTCACATGTTCCTTTGCTTCTTTTGGCTTTGGATGATTTCCTCTAACTTAGATAGGGATATATTCATATCTATAGGTATTTTTATACGTCTACAGTCCCATGATGCATTGTTCATAAACAGTGCATCATGGGACAATGAGCCGACATCTCACCTGTCTCACGTAGGGTCCCATGTTTTTTTTTTCACTATAACACCACCCGAGTAAATAATCATCATGCTATGAATCATTGCCTCTCAATAACTCATGTGTTATTAGGATGTCTTGCTAGATACTTGTTATTACTATTATTTTCAGTTTCCAAAAAAAATGTTATTAATGGGTGCCCAAATTTGAACTAATGTTTATCAACTTATAATTTTACAGCTAGTCTAGTCCTAGTAGTTATCAATAGAAGGTGCACGCTCATGGACATCAACGCATTTAATTTCACTCCAAAAAGGAGCCTTCACTTTCTTTCACACTATTCCCAAAATGCCCCCTTCCTGCCAAACTTTTGAAGGAATTCTTCCACACTTTTCCCGAAATGCCCCTTCCTGCGAGACTTTTGAATCCTTCTAACAATTAAAATGCAAAAAAGTAGCAAGTCCCTCCAACCCCAGCCTCCATCATCAACCTTTGCTTCTCAAATGGAACCCAAAAAAATTTAAAAAACCCCAAATAAATAATTGGAGTAAATAACAAAGTTATGATTCTCACGTCCCACCATCTCAAACCCTTGCTTCAATCCAACTCCACACGGCAACACCAACAGCAAGAAGAAGCCGAACCCATGTTCTAAAAATCCTTCCCAAATTACCCCTCACCATGACAGCAGTGCTCCAGTCCCCCTCGCATCTCCCTTCATCTCCAAGTTCCCAACTTTCTTGCTCCTCCAGTGATGCTCTGCAAACCCTTTTAACCTCTGAAGGACACGACGGCTCTGAAGAGGTGGAAGAAGAAAGAGAGGAATCCTTGTTTTATTTGCTGGTGACTGCTTTGAGGAGATCAATGGCGCAGTGCAGGGTGGAGGAGGAGGAGGAGGAGGAGGAGGAGGGGGATCGCCGGTCTATGGAGATCGGGTGGCCAACGGAGGTGAGGCACGTGGCTCACGTGACCTTTGACAGGTTCCATGGGTTTCTGGGGTTGCCTGTTGAGTTTGAGCCTGAGGTCCCCAGGAGAGCTCCCAGTGCCAGGTCTTGTTCTATTTTATTCTTTCATTTGTTTGTTTTTTAGGAGGAATGGTTAGTTGGGCATTGGTTGAAATTGCGAATTTTGTCGAGAATTGTTGGAACGATAGGCCCTTGGAGCTGCAGTAATGCTTTAACGTTGTGATATAATTGATAAAGGGTGGTCTTTTTCTCACATAAAATCCAAAGCTGGTAGGTTATATCATCGTCTATTGTATGATGGAAGCATAAATTTGTGACTATGTTAGATTATTGAAGTTGGTAAGAGCTGGAAAGATTCGGGTTTTTGGATCAAAATTGGTGTAGTTTCATAGGATAATTACTTGAAATTCCATGAATTTTAACATAGAATTAGTATTACCGAGTTCTGAGTTTGAAAAACTGGTGTTCTATGCATAAATCATGCAATATCCTAGTAGCATTACTTTGTTTTAATGGGGTTATATATGCCTCGCAATTGGTAATCCAGTTGTTACTGCACATTGATTCAATCATCCGTTGTCTCCCTTTAGTACCTTAAAATTCAGTACAAGCCATGGGACATTTTTTTTTACATGGTCACAGATAATGCATGGAGTTAAATTGCATTCCATGTAAATGCTCGTAATTAATACACAGACATGTATTGTTGTCACTTCAATTTGTACTTTAAACTCTCCCTGATCAAACAATATCCATGCAAAATTAGTAGATCATGATATTCTGGTGTTAAAAAAAATGCACATTTGGTATACTTGAGAAATTCATTTAGAATTCTTATTGGATATTAGCAATGCACATTTTTCAAACAATCTGCTTGCAAGGGGGTTGAGGGGTTATAATTTGTACTCTGCATACAGAAACTTTCTCATAGTTTCTTAAGTGTCATTTATTCCTGAATAACTTCCACTACGAGTAATATTTCCCTGCCTTTCCTGTAACGCGAGTTCTGTGGTTCATAACTGTTATCTTATCTTCAGTATTGATATTTGTGGTCAAACACCTACGAAAGGGAAAGCGCACGATAACATTTGGAGCTGTCCTATAAGTGTCATTGTCTTTTTCTAGCAGTTAAATTGTGCATAATCTCCTTTACTTTCTAATCTTGACACATTTATTATCCTGTAATGTGAATAAAATTTAACTCGGTATACTGTTCCTAGCACAGTGCAACTGTTTTCGGTGTTTCTACCGAGTCTATGCAATGCTCTTATGATCCTAGAGGGAACAGCATACCAACAATTCTCCTGTTAATGCAAAGACGTCTTTATGAAAGAGGGGGCCTGCAGGTATATTCTTTTAGTGATCCTGAAAAAGTTTACATTTATTTTTAAGCTCCTTTAATTTGGGGACTTCATAGTAATTTTAATTGGATAGGCAGAAGGCATTTTCAGAATTAATGGAGAGAATGGCCAAGAGGAGTTTGTAAGGGATCAGCTAAATAGTGGAATAGTGCCCGATGGAATTGATGTGCACTGTTTAGCTGGTTTGATCAAGGTATATCCATCTCCTTTTAAGTGGATAACCATATACTTATTACAATTTTGATCGCAAATGACTTAAGACATCGTACAGTGGATTCTTGATGAGAGATAGGAACCGATTTCAACAGAAATATGACTTTGGAACTGACCATATATCAGTCCTTCACCCTTCTATTCTTGTAATGTTGGCCTAAACTCTTTTCTGCTCTTTATCTGCTTCTCGTTTTTGAAGTATGCGGGTCTAAGCTTAGAATGTTGCATTTGAAATTTGTCATCAAGCACTTATATATGTGTGTGTGTGTGTGTGTGTGTAGCTTGGTCCTACAATTTCATAACACTGAGCACACATTATTTGTAATAAGCATAACTTAGTTCATCAATCAGAACATAGGATTCACTTCTATCTGCTCCTGTAAGGCTGGAACACCATAGTTGGACGTCAGCCATGCACGTTTCATGTATTTACGGGAATTGTTATTTAGGCTTTGCAGCACTACTTACAGGCATATATAATTGTAGCTTTTGCACTTTTGGTATATTGTTTACCTTGTTTTTAGTGACGTTTTTCTTATTTGGTGATTCTTCTACAGGCTTGGTTAAGAGAACTTCCTACTGGGGTTCTTGACCCTCTAACACCCGAGCAAGTAAAGCAATGCCAATCAGAAGAGGAGTGTGCTCAAGTTGTGAGCCTTCTACCACCGACAGAGGCTGCATTATTGGACTGGGCTATCAACTTGATGGCAGATGTTGTCCAAGAAGAGCAGAAAAATAAGATGAATGCACGAAATGTTGCCATGGTTTTTGCGCCAAACATGACCCAGGTATCAACTTTTCTATCTTCTTGCTTCAATGCAACAAAATTTCCAATTAGAACTTGTATCTAGTTCATTTTGCTTTAATCCTTATGATTTAGAGTAAATATACGTATCATTAAGGAAATCGGTGAACGTTACAGCTTAAATAATACCCAAAATAGTTAAAGGAATTTTTCTGTTAGGTAGAAGGAAAAAGAAATTCAGGTTATTCATATATAATTCTTCTCCCTAACAAGGGAGAGGGTGACAGTCATCAATCTCCCATATTATGCTCAATCCAACTAAAACAATTATTCCTCATATTATACTCAAACATTACTGCCTCTAATTTCTCATAAATATGCTCCTTTTGTTATCATGTATAACTTTTTGAGGATTTAGCTTGTATTTGTATTTGTCAACAAGAATCTGAATAACTGTTATTATCTATATATTTTTGAATCTGGATGGGGTCAGTTTCGTTTTTTTGACTGGGTGTTATTGAGGTAAGGCTGCAAGCCTGCAACGTCCCCCCATGTAGCTCTTTCTTTATGAGGCTATTCCTGCCAAAATATTAATAACATTTCCAGGTCCGGCCAGGGACCTATGATGAAGTTCCGGTAAATAATAATTATTATTATTATAACTCTACCTTGTTCAATCACTCTCCAAAACTAATTATTATCAAAATTGCAGATGGCGGATCCTTTGACTGCATTAATGTATGTAGTCCAAGTGATGAATTTTCTCAAGATGCTGATCCTCAGGACACTTAAATCAAGGCAAGAATTAACAGTAGATGATTACTCAGTTTTTCACTCCGATCCATCCGATGAAAATGGCCATAACAGTCCTCAGGTCCCTCTAGAAGCCGATAGCAACATAGCAGTCGAGCAAGTCTTTGTTCCTGAGGAACCTAATTTAGATGATCTTACACAAGATTCTAAGGAAAATTTGGAGGTACAAAATAAAATAACTGATACTTCAGAAAATTCGCACGGAAATGTTCTTCCTGAAGAGACTACATATTGCACTGATGAAAACTTCTGTGAATTGCCACGACAAACTGATGGCCAAACCGAGAGAGAAGAAATCAATGTTAATTCTTCTGCTGCCGTTCAAGCAAATGTGCAGAGAACTGGAAAAGCCAAATCAAACAGTAAGAAAGGAAGAAGAAAAGCTAGGGAACCTTCCCCTATCCAAGCAAATATGCAAGCTGAGAAATCAAAAGGGACTAGTATCGTAACTCGTATAAATTCTAAGACAGAAAGAATAGAAGCGTGGAGGTGAAACTAGTGATTATTTTGCTGCTGACGTAGTTTTGGGTTAAGAATTCGTGTTATTGTGTGGATTGTGGTTTTGTGGTTGGTTTGTATTTTCTATTGACTGCACTGATTTAGCTGTTTCTGGCTTATAAAAAATGTGGTTTTACTTCTAAAATAGTGCATGAGATTGGTATTTGTATAACTCTGTCACATGTTAATATCTTACAACCTTTTATCTGCGTCACCTTTTTCCTCCATTACAGTTTATGTAGTTAGTACCTAGAAAAAAGAAATCTCCAAGCTTCATCTCCATCTATGTATGTACGCTCTCTTATGCCAATTTTCGATATTTGTTTCCAGGTGCATTTCCCTTTCATCTTATCTTAGGCCTCTAATTCTGTGCCTGCAGTACTTGGTTTCCAAGGGTTATCCCCTTATCACATCTTGAGCCCTGCTGATATAAAAACAAGACAAGGTTGCAATATCCTTCACTATCATCTAAACTGGCCATCAGAAAGTTGTTGTCACTTGAGAGTAACGCTCATATACATCCCTTAAGAGGCATATTCTAACTATGTCCACGGTGCACATTCCCTCTCTTATCTGCATGATTTTCTTTATAATTGGCATGACAGGTACATGAATGGAAGCAGAATGGTTCCACGAGAGCACTGGTGGTGCTAAGAACTGGACCGTGACACGTATACTGATCAATTTGCAAGATTTCAGTAAGTGGCTGGTGTTCTCAGTCTAGTCATTGTTTCAAGGACCAGTTCATTCATCATCTAGCTTGGACGAGGCTGCGCTGATGGCCGCCACATAGCAATCTTCCAATTATCTTGGATTCTTGCAAGTGAGTACAGTCTTACATCCATTGCCTCATGGGTTAATTGCGGTCCGCGGATAGACCCCCTATACATGTCCCAATTGCAGATAGACCCTGAATCATTTTTTTTTACTCTTTTACCCTCAGAGAAAGAGAAAATCATTTTTTTTTACAAATAGAACTTATGAGGGTAAAGAGAAAAAAAAATATATCAGTCAGGGGGTCTATCTTCAACAATAGAATTACAGGGGGGTCTACCTGCAATTGGGGGAAAGTGCAGGGATCTGTCAGCAATTTACCCTTAAATCAGTCAAAAAAAAAAAAGATGTTGCTATAATCTCTATCTGATTGGAATCCTGCAGATTGGCACAATTTACTTTGTTTTTATTACTTGTTCAAGGTGTTCTATGATCAGAATCTAACAACTGATCTTGTTTAGTAGAACCACTTTAGTTTGATATAATGTATCAAGCATCAACCACAGTTGTATCGGCAAATGTGTATCTTTTTCTCCTCCATTATCTTGATATCCAAATGAGAGGAAACGCACCAAACGACCAAGTCTCCTTTACTTAAGGCAGCTACACTGAAAATGTAAAGCCAAGAGCACAAAGGGCTGAAATTGTCAAAATCCCACCTGTCAAAAGAATCCACCGCCACCAGATCCTTATTCCTCTCTAACAGGAAATCTTTGGGAAACACCCACCATCATCACCCAATCAAAGCACTACCCTCATCCTTTTGTGTTCCTTCAAAATCCCCTGCCAATCCTGAGCCCTCTCTATCCAAACCACACCAGTCTTCTCTCTTCTCTCACATTTCTTCATACCATTTTATCCTTTCAAGATCGATGGCTGCCTGTGGTAGCTTGAGGTCATTATTTGAGAACCCGTTACCTGAAAACCCGACCCTCATTGAATCCCTGTCCTCATGGAGCAATCACAAGCCAATGAAACCGATCGAAGTCTCCTCCTTTGCTGAGATTTTTGGTGAACTCTACTTTCAGGAGAAACCTGCTCCTCCTCCATTGTCACCGCCAGCATTAGATCAAGACACACAATCCAATATCTCTGAGTCTGATACAAAACATGCACAAGCTCCTGAGAACCTTACATTGGATTCTCTTCTTTGTTTGCCCAAGAATCGCTATAGGTGCGATTTAAAGGCAAATGATGGCTTTTCTACCAAGAACTCTGAGTCTCTGCAGTTGTGCACGGAGGGGCTTGGATCAGAGAGCTCGGATGACGTAGATGACCTAATGGACAGTGGAGACGACTGGAGGTCTTGTGGAAGGAGAATGGAGATTGGGAGGAGGCCATTGATGTATAGTGGGGGTATCAATGGGTATTCGAGGAGTTGTTGGGATGTGAAGACATCGAAGAATGGTAGGGAATTTCCTCCCCCTATATCTTCAATAGGGAAGAGTGGGAAGCCTTGTGTGTGTTTCAAATCTTTTAGAGAGGACGGGAGGTTCATTTTAAGGGAGATAAGGATTCCTAATCAAGAATTGTTACGTGCTTCAAGGGAAGATGGACGGCTTAAGTTGCAATTTGTTCGTCCAGACGAAGACATTGCTGAAGGAGAAGAGGAAGGGGAAATAGAAGAAGAAGATGAGGAAAAGGCCAGTGAAAGCGAAAACGATCAACAGATAGATTTTGGCTTCTAAGAGGACATGCTTCATGCCAATTGATTTTAATATCTTGATGAAGAAATAGGTTTAAAAAAAACTATATATGCTGAATCAAGAGAATGATTAGAGAGAGTCGTAAATGATGATGCGCATTGTTTATTGATGGAAACAAATCTGTCAAAGGAGATAGAATAACAAGTTGTGATATCACTGTTCTCTTGGTGTTAATAAGCAATAAAAATAACATTTTTCTTGCGCACAGTAATAAATTTGGCTGTTTCCAGGTCAATAGAAGAATGAGTCGATTGCCGTGCAGAGTATTACAGAATTTTAACACCGTTCAATAATGGAGAACATGATGACATATCAATCTTGCTTTCTGGTTAATATAAGAACTTAACAGTCAAAGAATGATATTCATGTTAAAGTCCAGGAATTCGATCATCATGTAAAGTAGAACGATGTTCATGTAATTTTTGTCGATTTGAATTTGTTCGTCACGTGAAGTAGAACGATGTTCATGTAATTTTTGTTGGTTTTGTACGTCAAGAACCCATATCAGGCTCTGAAATTTGCAAGCAAAACATTATGACTAATAATGAGCCTATTTCATCACTATCATTCTCGATTTTTCCGGTCCAAGGAAAAAAGAAAAAGGATATGATGCCTAAAGTGTTGAATTATTGACAGAAAGGCAAGGGCCCTTATTCGCAAATCTTAGATGATTCTTTTTCATCCTCAAAGGCTGAGAACAAACGGTATCTGTAAACAACCAGAGATCGAGCTAGATATTTGAAAGCTTTTCTCAACTAGAATCACATGATAATAATGCATGAAGCATTTCATTCAAAACTCTGTATTGCGAATAATGGTGGCAGACAAACTTTTTCATGACTGTAGCAAGAATCACATGAACCCACTTGGTAAAAGGCACAGAAAGTGCATTGAATTCAAATGAGCATCAGTTAATGAGAGACTGATATTTGAAGCTTCTTGTGTCTGTGGTCTTCAACCCTTGAATTCTTTACTACAGTGAGGATCAATCTGGAGATTTGCTTTTTGCGCTCTCTAGGAGTTGAAACCCGAGCGTAGGCCAATTTTTGGCCAATATCTTGGAGACACAGATGTTTTGACTTTGCAATAATAAGCAAATTTTCCAGAGAGGAGATATAAAGTTTATAGTAGTGATCATGGTATCTGATGCATTAACAAAAAACACTGTTAAGGATTTACATAGTTGAGATATGATCCTGGTTATCTTCTATATCCCATGTTTTTGTTGTATGTATAATATGAAGAAATTTAAACAAAACAGGGTGCTCTTGCTGAAACTAGCATCTGGAAGTATTAATGTTTCTAGGACAACAACTTGTGATTTTTATTATTCTTTTGATTCTGCTGCAGATATTTTGATTGATGCTCCTGAGCTTCCTAGCATTTAAAACCTGATGTTGCAAAATTGGAGCTCGATAGCAAGAATGTCGCGACTATGTTATTTGCAATTTATTCATATTGATAATTTTCCCCTTGTAGAACACTGTATGATGTATTTTTGAGATTTTTGTAATGTTACATTATATTCTCTTCGACAAAATGAATGACAACGTTCATATTTTCTTTAAGAAGCTGTATTCATATGTCACAGGATCCTTTTTTTTTTTTATCCGAGATCATCAGCACAAGATCTTCACGTATAAATCGAATACAAGTTCAACAGGCAACTAGAAGCCCGCAGCAGCACTTTCAAATATAATATATTAACTAATTGGGCTGGGTTGTGTAGATTTCAGGGTATCTGACAACTAAATATATTCGGCCCAGATCGTTCAGTCAGGACTGGGTCTTGGATGTGAGCTAGTGTTCAATAGTTTGATCGCTGTCTCACAGTTCTCGGCCCGTAAGTTGGAGTAAAAACAAAATATTTTAATAATGAATTATTAATAACTATTATGTAAATAGAAAATCTTATGGAAATATTAATATTTCTAAGCCCACGTACAGTTGTGATTTTTTGTATTCTTATGACTCTTGTGCAGATCTATTGATCGATGCTCCTGCGTCTGGAGCTCCTTAATTAGCATCTAAAACTTGAAATTGCAAAATTTGACCTCCAACGGTGAGATTGTTGTGACCACATTGTTTGCAAATCATTCGTTCCGATAGTTTCCCCCTCGGAGAAGACTTAATAACGTATTTTCCAGATTTTGGTAATGTTTCATTATGTTCTCTTCAACAAAGTGCACACGTACGGATTGAAGGCGAGTTCAACAACAGGCAACCAATTCAGTAACCGGGTTGGGTTTCGTCTATTTCAGCACATGGGCCAACTGAATGAACTTTGGCCCAGATTGTTCACCCGACTGGATTATACTTGTTTAATCACTGGCCCACAGTTCCCAGCCCATACATAAGTTGGTAGAAACAAACAAACAAACAAACAATCAATGCGTTCACGATAAATTAATTAATTAATTAGCAATAAAAATATTCTCAGAACGAAGGTGAAGCTCCCACGTGTACCAAGTACTAGAAAAGCAAACGGAGGTTCTAGTTTGTCCCATAGAATAATCTCATCCTTATCCTCCTCCCTATGCCTTCACAGTACTCCAGACCACTATAATGATATCATTATATATATATATATATATTAATCAGGCCAGCGATCATTAACATTTTCAACTAAAAATGGCAACAAGGGGCGTTTCGCCGCCGGCCGCCGCCAGCGCTGGCTCGCTAGAGCTGGAAGGTTTGGTGATCGGTTCAAAGATGGAACGAGTCGGAGGTACGATGTCTCGATATTTTAGCGAAGGCAAAGGGAGGATCTTCAGTGAGGAGGAGCGAGCCAAAGAAGCTGTTTACATTCAGGTTGCAGATTATCTGATTAATTTAATTTGTATCGCTAGTTAACTAACCTTCTCTCTCTCTCTAGTTACGTACTTTGTTAGCTTAATTAATTATCGCTCGCTAATTAAAAGCTGTTTTTTTTTAATGTAAAGAAAATGGAGAGGGAGAGGATGGAGAAGCTGAAGAAAAAGATGGAGAAGGAGAGGGCCGCAGCTGAAAGAGGGGAGATTAAGGTTCACCGTCGTTGATTAATTTTTTTTGTTGAAGAGTCATATATTAGTTATTAATTTATATGCAAAATTAATATTGCTGGTGACGTATATTGTATCTTTTTCTGAGCAGAAAACGGAGGAAGCCTGCAAAACCTGAAGGTCGATCTACCTGCAGTTTATCCCTTCGATGTTGTGGCCGTGGTAGCTGACTTGTAGATAACATGATGATGAGTAAAATTAGTGAGCTCTTTGTATGTTTTTTTTTTTCTTTTTCTTTTTTCTTTTGTCGAGAAAAATAAAGTGTGTAAATTTGTTGAACCCAGTGGCTGCTATGAGCGATTGGGCGTATGTTGTATTATTTTAAAATGTTGTTGTTTGTAGATGGGCTTGTATAGTTATTGTCCAAGCAAATGGGCCTAACGGGCCTCTTTGGCTCAGGTGTATATAGGAATAAATTTCATAAAAAAAAGGTACCGTTGGGTTTTGAGTTTCGGAGGAAAATATGTCAATTTGTTTGTTAGAGGCCCAAATTCTTTATACCACATTCACCAGATCTACAACGCTGCAACACTTTTTGCGTGGACGGTGGTGATGTGAATGTTGAGCCCACCAAGCCTTTTGAATTTTGACGCAGAAGCCTTGTGATCAATCATGAGCTAGGCTTCGTGATGGGCTCATGGGTTTTAATCTCATGGACTTCTTGCTACCACATTTGAGAGGCGATAGCTGTAAATGGGTAGCCTCGTTATTTTTCAAAGTTGATGATGAGCTGACACCGGCCTTTCTTTCCTCAGCTGCAGGTAAATTTTGGAAATGAACTTCCAGAAAACGACAGATTGCATAAATTTTGGAGTTTTTTGAACAAAATTATGGCGAAGAAAAGTGTTCGCTATCCTCACTTGTAACTAGCGAAGCACGAAATTTAGACTTTTTTCTTAATGCAAAATTATAAGGTTCCATTAATTAAGACACTTAACACTGTTACAATCAGCAATAAGAACATGAACGATTTTATTAGGTGCTTCTTCCATCCACACAATCATATGCCTAAAACATTTTTAGCCAAAAGGTGAGCAACTTTGTTATAACTTCAAGGTGCATGATGAACTTTGAACCCAACCTTTTATTATATGAACAAATTCCTCCAAGCTTCGATAACTCCTTTATCCGAGTATTTGATCGCATTAACCACCACTGAATTATCCATTTCAAGAACTATATTTAAAATCCAATTTCAAGTCCATTTTCTTCGCTAAATTTAGACTTTCTTCAGATCTTTTCTTTTTTTAAAGTCTATATTAATTTATCTATTAAACATAATCTAAACTATTCTTATATACATTTATAAATAAATAATATCTCTCCTTTATATATAAAGCGAAATAAGTGATACTCTTATAGGCGTAAAAACGGATATGATGTAAAAAACTAATATATATCATATCATAAATGACCACATATTCCTATACTATCATGTGCATATCCCTATACTACTGAAACATGGCATGTGAGTACCTAGTTTTATTTTCACCTAAGAATTATTATCAAATTAAAACTATCCATAATTAACAATTCTAATAATCAAGTATTTAGTAATCATAATCAAATTATCGCTATCCATATTAAAAAAATTCTGATAATCATATCCTCCTTTACAAGTATTAAGCCCGTGCTAGTAAACAATCTCTGAAGGCAATAGAACGCGCAACATGCATGTTAGATTCCCAAACAAAAAGCATTATGTGTCACTCTATTTTATTAGAATATGGCATGTGTCCTATAATCAAGCAAACCCTTAAATTTTGAAAATTTTAAATAGTCCCCTGATCGATATGTAAATTACAAATAAACTCTTAAAAATATTATAATTATAAAAATTTCAAAAAATCTAAAATTTCAAAAACTCTCCTTCTTCTATTAAACTGAGGGTTCTCTATTGCTGCAAAACATAGAATCTTTGAGCTCAAGCAATGCAGAACGCCCATTTTGAAGGAAGAAGAAAAAAAGTCCCAAAAAAACTCTTCTTTTCCTCTAATTTGAAAATTCCTCTTTCTAATGAGTTCAATGAGATTAACTACAGTTGCCACATCTTTATAAATATGTCATCTAAGCATATGTGGTAGGTTACGGGAAAAATAGTCGAAAAATTTATTTTTGAACATATTTGTCTCATGGTGCAAATTTACAACTTGTTTGGATGAATGTTAATGGATCGAAGTTAAGTGAAATTTTAATTTTACCTCGTGTGGGAGTTTTTTTGAGGGCTTAGAGGATGGAATGGAAGGTTAAATTATCTTCCATTTCCCTCCCCTTCAATTTTACGGGTAGAGGATAGAATGAAAACTAATGTAAAATTTTACAACGTGATAAGATAATTACAACCTTATGACATTAAAATCAATGTCTAATATATACTCTCATCCAATATGTGAGGATATTTATGTAACTTTATATATATTCACTTCGCTTCCCTCATCTTTATTAGAATTCCCAAACAACATGAAATAAATTTATTTCCGTTCTCCTTACTAAACTCCCAAACAACATTTTATCTTTTTACTTTCATTCGTTACATTCTCTTTTCATTATTTAACTTTATGTTCTTTTCCTTAATAAACTCCCAAACAAAGCCTTAGACACCTTACCGTCGCCGGAATTATTTTAATAGGTGCTATTTTTAATAGGGAAAAATGTGTCCAGGCCCCAAAAGTGGGAACTTCGTGTGACTAGCCCCCTGTACTTTGCCCCATGTGGAATAGCCCCAAATACGCATAGTATTTGCGACGAGGCCCCGAATTGACTCTTTTCAGAAAAAGCCCAGCGGAAGTTACTATCTTGCCCTCTGATGGGACTGAGCTGGGTTAATGTGCCCCTCACCTTTACAAGTACTCTCCCTCTCTTTCTCTCTCTTCCACCTAGCACCGTCATCAAGAACTCTTCATCTTCCTAATTTCTGTACGAATTTCAACGTTTCTAGGGTTTTCGCCGGAAAAATGTCGTCGTCTACGGAAAAATTCAGTAACGACTACGAGGTCGGGCACCGAGCCGAGTTGGAAGGAAAAGGCGCTTCATCTGCGGGTGGCAGCACGGAGGAAGCTACGGAAGCTACGAAAACCCTAATCGAAATTCAAAAGGAGGCATTACAATGGCGAGACCAGAAAAGGAGGACGACAATGGCTGGTCGTACCAACGAACCCCCCTCAAAAAAACAGTAAGTGTTATGTTATACTGCGAACAGACAATGCAGATTAACCCAATATTGTTAGTTCTAGGCTTATGTTATACTGCGAAGAGACAATGCAGATTAACCCAATATTGTCAGTTCTAGGCTTTGTCCAATGTTAGTTCTAAATTTATACCAACGTTAGATCTAGTTTAAGTCCAATGTTAGTTCTAATATGAGTCCAATGTTAGTTCTATAATATTACGTGTTAGCTCTATTTTGTTCCCGTTAGTGCTAGGTCTAATATTGTTTCATATGTCTTATTGAACTTACAAATTCGAAAATTTTTTGCAGGGAAAAAATTGCTCTAACAGGCTCAGCAGAAACACTAAGGTTAACGGCCAATATCGGGGCTTATTGGGCATTTATGAAGCGCCTTGCCCCGAAGATCCGTCAGTGGCATAGGGATGCATACTGCGGTTCTATATTTCAGCACTACATTTTGTTTGGGGCTCCTGCGGCTGATCGGCCCACCCTTGAGCTGCTGCTGAGCTTTTTCGATAGAGATAATAACACCTTTTGTATACCTGATTGTTTTCAGCGAAAGTTGGTTTTGTTATGGAATTCATTATATCTTCGGTCGATTACAACAAATTCAAAAGAAATAGCCTTACGCTCTAGCTCATTACCTCACTAAAAGGCCAGCATGGTATCCTGTTAACAAACAAAACCAAACACCCGCCCTTCTCTTTCTTCCCCCAGGATCGTTGTTTGGATCGCTGCTTGCGTGAGATCTTTGCCTGTGCCGGGAGCGCTTTGACTCGTGGACCACCAAATCACAGATTCTGATTGAACCGTGAGGGGTTTAATGATTCTTCCTTCGTTTATCGAAGTAAGAATTTGAAGCGAATATCTTATCGATGTAAGATGTTCACTCTTCCAAAGATCAAGTCTGAGCTTAGATCTCTAGGAATGGCCAAAAGCTTCTTGAGGATGTTTGTGAAGAAGGAAGACTCTCTCTCTTGCTCTAATTCACCAAAACTCAAGGCTCTCTGCTCTAATCTCTCTGGAAAATGCTCAGCCCCTGTCAATGATGGCCATAGGGGGGTATTTATAGCCTCCTTAGACGATAACTGAAGAAATAGCTGGTCAATAACTGTCTCTTTAGGCGCGGCAGCTGATAAAGAGCGCGGCAGTCGACCCTGCCGCGGCTAAAGGGCGCGGCAGTCGACACTGCCTCGGCTAAAGGGGCAGTTACACCCACGTTCATACGTGTTTGAAACAGTTCTCCCACGACCTTTAACCACCTTTTTCGTGGTTTAACTGCTTTTCCACATCAGCACACGTTCTATTTCTGATACTCCGCCACGTGGACTTTAAATAATCATCAGATAACTGTATTATAACTGCTGTAGCATCCTGCTTTAACTGCCGCGGCACCATAGGTTGCAGCGGTTAAGCCGCGACACCATAGGCTGCCGCGCCTTAGCCGCGGCACCTTGGTCTGCCGCGCCTTAGCCGCG